AAGTGAATCATCATTTATCTCCCACACTTAGCTGCTGGCTGTTTCCCCACCCCCTTCCCTTAAACTCTGATGTTCTAATAGTAACATCAGAGTTTAAGGGAAGTATGGTTGCCTTTTTTTTTTTTTTAAATCTCTTAAAATAAGAACTGCACTAAGTTTCTTATCAGAGTGGGAATATCAGAGAAAATTTATTTTGAGAAAAAACCCTGTAAAATACCTGAATCATTTTTTCAAATGTCAAACCTCAAAGCTTTTGTCATTTTTATACAAACTTTTATTAAGGAAATCAGCCTGATGAACACTAATATTTTAGAGACTTATGTTCTAGTTTGAGTTAAAATTCTAGAAATGTCACTTAACTGGAATCATTTTTGAATTTGGCTTATAAAAATAATTTGTATATATTTGTTTGATTGCTTGTTTTATTTAGGTTTCTAGGAATATGATGAGACATTATCCTATACTAGAAGCCCAGTGCACAAAATTCGAGCACGGGTAGGGTCCCTAGGTCTGGTCGGCGATCAGGGCTGATCTGTGGGGCAACCGGCAGGGTGATGGGGGACCCCCCTACTGGCACCTGCCTTGGCTGGCCTGGGGCCTGGGGACTGTGGGCTGGGGGCAGCTCTTTCGTGGAGTGCCTGTCCCCTGGTGGTCGGGTGTGTGTCATAGTGACTGGTCATTTGCCATTTGGTCGATTGGCATATTAGGGTTTTCTTATCCGGTATAAGAAAACCCTAATATGCAAATTGCCCGAATGGCGAACCGCCCGGTGGAATGATCGGTTGTTATGACGCACACTGATCTCCAACGCAGGAGCTTCCCCCTGGTGTTCAGTGCACTCCCACATGGGGAGCCCTGCTCACCCAGAAGCGGGGCTCATCAATGGCAGGGGGGGGAGGAGGGGGCTTAACCCATCATTCAGACCTCCTTTAAGGGCTCCCGGAGAGGGTGCAGGGCAGACTGAGCGACCCCCCCCCCCCCCCCAGTGCATGAATTTTGTGCACTGGGCATCTAGTTTATAATGTCTTTGTTTCTTTTTTATAAATCCATTTGCCAAAAGACCACTAGTTTTCTTAAGTGAAAACAATTTTAATGCTATGATACACTCACAAGTCACTGGTGTTATTTTATAGGACTTTGTTACCACATTGATTCTGTTCTGACCCTGGGATATTGGCCTTCATTCAGGGGGTTAAAGTATCTGGGAAGCCCAAGAATATTTACATTTAAAAATTACATAAAGGAAGATGTTACTTCCTTTATGTCTGGTTCTGATTAGTCGGGTAAATGGGATTTGAAACATTTCAGTAAAATATAGTTTATTAAAGTTAGGCATGACTTTGTGTGAACTGAAGTAAATCAGATTATATAATTACTAGAGGCCTGGTGCATGAATTCATGCACAGGTGGGCCCCAGCCAGCCCGCCCCGATGGGGGCCTATTGGGGCCAGGCAGGTGGGGGAAGGGGACACAGGAGGTTGGCTTGCCAGCCCTGCCCCCAATCAGGGTAGGGGGGCCGATTGGAGGCAGGGCTTGCCTGGGGGAGGGGCTGCAGGCAATTGGCCGGCCAGCCCCGCCCCTGATCAGGATGGGGGGGGCAATCAGGGGCAGGGCCAGCCAGGAGGAGGGGCTTCGGGCAGTTGGCCAGCCGGCCCTGCCCCTGGGTGGGGTGGAGGGGGGCGATCAGGGGTGGGAGGTTGGAGGCAGCCGATCAGGGCCCCCCATCGGGCTGGTTGGCCACTGCAGTGTGCATCATTGTGACCAGCCCTTCTGTTGTTCTGGTCGTTCCGCTGTTCCGGTCACTTGGCTTTTATATATATAGATAGTACATATGTAGTTGCTGTTTGCTGGAAATTTAAAACACCTGAGTTTTAAATTTTCAATTATGCCGCTTACTGGTAAAGTAAGGGAAGGCATGTTAGAAGAGCTATTTATAATTTGAAGTCGGGTCCCTCTAAGGCAGTGGTTCTCAACCTTGGCTGCACATTAGAATCACCTGGGAATCTTTATAAAATCCTGATTTCTGGGCCTCATTCTCCGGAAATTCTGTTTCTTTGTTACTAATGTTGTTTAAACACCCCATAACAAAGAAACAGAATTTCTGGAGGATGAGGCCCAGAAATCAGGATTTTAAAAAGATTCCCAGGTGATTCTAATGTGCAGCCAAGGTTGAGAACCACTGCTCTAAGGCCAATGAGCGAAAGGAAGAAAATAAACCTGTTGAGTATTATGTTGAGGGGAAGAGCAATGGAAATTGTTTAGTGAACTGTCTTGATTATTAGTGCATGCAAGGCACTCTGCTAGTTAAATATACGGGGAATCCAAAAAGTATAAGAATTCTATTTTCTAGCTCCTTTCAAATTCAGTATAGGGGCTCTGACATTTAAAAATTAAGAATAAAGAACCAAATTGTGCTCGAGAATTAGAGCAAGTAATTATTTTAAAATATTTTCAGAAGGAGGGAAAAATAAAGAGAAAAAAAATCAACACAGAACTCAGTAGAATGACAGAAAGGAGGAAGCAAGAACCCAGAAGCAGAGAGGCAGACTTTCACATAGGGCTTTCCATCCTTGGGCTGCCTCTAAAGATGACCAAGCAAGTTTTGTGTGTTTTCAGCTGTAGATGCAAATGCTGCAAAACAGCGGTCGCCAGCCATTTGGACCTCACGGACCACCGGTTGGCGACTGCTGCTGCAGACTTCATTTCTAAGTACATGTTCCACATAGGATACAGGAAATTGAACTTCCATAATTCCTGAATTAATCCAGGTATATTGGTTGATTTCTAGTTATTTAAAGTTGGGGAGAGAGGGACCTGTTCTTTACACTAGAAAATGAGTTCCACAAGAGCTGGGGTGTTTGTTTTGTTAACTATATTATTCCAATTTCTTAGAACAGTGCCTGGCATGTTGTAGCCTCTGAGTGAGAACTTTTGAATTAGATTTCAGAAATATGGGGTTCTGTAAAACGTACTTTAAGTCTAGTCATCAGCTGCAACTCTGGCACCCAGGCCTTTGATATGTTCACATTTTTTTTCTCGTAAAGAGATCAGGTAAGGGAAGCATCAAAGCTGATTCTTAGATTTTGAGCCTGGAGGTTTGGGAAGATGGAAACATAGGAAGAGTAGCAAATTCAAGAGATTATGATAAATTTGGTTTTGGAAATACTGAATTTGAAGTGGCAAGCTTTTTTAGGCTCAGGGAATCCTTTATATAGAGGTGATAGTTGAAACCATCATTATAGGTGAAACTGACAGTAATTATGATGGCCACCAATACTTTATATACTTTATATACTGATTTCATTTCATCCTCAGTTAGCCTTGCTAAATAGATACTACTGTTTCTAATTTCATAGTTGAGGACACTGAGGTTTAGCAAGATAGGATATCTTCCCCAGGGTCACGTAGCTGGTAAGTGGTAGAGCTAGGTTTTGAATCTAGACCCATCTTATTCCAAAGTCTCTAGCTAGTGCCAAGTGATAAAAATGTACAGGAAAATGAGGATTGAGCAAAGACCACTGAATATATTTTCTAGGATTCGTTGTGCAAGAAAACTCTTAGAGTTCTGGTATAGGGGCGGAATCCATATTGCAAGGAATTAAGGAATGAGTGAGCGGGAAAATTTTCTAAAAATGGAAATGGAAGTTTAAGACTTGTTTTCAAGAAATTTGGGGGAAGGCAAAAAGTAGTACAGTATGGTGAATTTGTAGGACCAAGTAAATTTGGGAGTTTTGTTACAGTTTTTATCTTGTTTTAGGATTTGCATTTATTTCAACAAATATTTATTGAGTGCCTACTCTATGTCAGGTAGATTAAAGAGATATAATAGGAAATAACACTGGTTTCTTGCTGTTACAGAGTTTAATTTTTATGGAGGTGGATGTGGTTGTCAAGAAACAAAATCAGAAAAACATCAACATGTATAAATGTTATACAGAGAGTTAAAAATAGAATATAATATGTAAGAGAGTGTCTGCATGGAAGTTTTAGATTGTATGATAGAAAGGCCTGTTTTAGAGCCATTATCTGAGGATCTAAAAGATAAGGTAGCCAATAACCAGGAAGGGAATTTAGGCAGTGAGAACAGATAATGCACAGGCCTTAAAGTAGGAATAAACTTGACAATATTAGATGGAGGCTATTGAGCAAAGGGAAAAGTGGTATGCTATCAGAGGTAGGCATGGTTCATATCTTTTATTTTAGGGCTATGTAAATTGGTGTAAAGAATATGGATCTTTATTCTAAATGAAGTGGGATGTCAGGTGCTTGAAGAATATTAAGCAGGTAATTATACATGACCTAATTTACATCTTAAACGGTACATTCTGGCTTTTGTGTGGAAAATACATTAATGGGGGAGGGGATACAAGTAAAAGCGGAAGACTGGTTAATAGGTTTCTGCCCTTATTCACACAAGAGATATTGGTGGCTTGGACTGAAGTCTTAGTAATAAAGGGGGGAGAACTGAATAGATTTTGAATGTATTTCTGGGAAGGATACAATAAGACTTGTTGATGAATTAGATACGCCTTTCAGTTAAAGAGAGGAATCATAATGTTTCCTGGATTTGGGGCTTCAACAACTGGGTGAATGAATGGGCAATATGAGAGGGAGACCTGAGCATGATTACATTGAAATGAAGGAGTCATTTAAAGAAGCAATATTGAAGTTTGCAAGGGACATAATTCATGATGAAGCAAGGTACCAAAGAGTGAGCATACAAGAAGGAAGAGATTGAGAGATAAATGTAGGATTCAGAAGGAAGGAGACAGAAGACAGAAATTTCAAGATAAAAAGGAAGTTTGAAAAGCAAATATTGGAAAATCTTGATCTTTAATAAAATGCTAGGCCTATTACTGTGTTCAGTTATGAACAACCACATATTGTTTTATGTTCCTCATATTAACTTTCTAATTTAAGTATTTTAAGCATAGTTATATTTATCATTGTATAACCTATTACTTTGCGCATATATAATTTTGTTTTGTTTGTTTTTGCAGGTTGTAAGTTCTACAAATGGAGAGTTAAACACAGATGACCCTACTGCAGGACGTTCAAATGCACCCATCACAGCCCCTACGGAAGTAGAAGTGATGGATGAAACCAAGTATGTGTTCGTTTTGCTTGTTTAAGTAACTTTTTGTTCTAAAACTATGCATGTCTGACATTGATAGTCATGTACAATTATTTCAGGAATATTTTTTCAAGGAATAGGTGCCTATAAAATAAGTGATATGTTTATTTTAATCACTTTAGAATTGTACTATTTCAGTAAGTATTTTAATAATACAAAATTATTTAAGAACTATGCTCAAATTCTTATTTAGAATCAATAGCATATTTTTACGAGTGTTGATGCATGAAAATTATTGCTATATTATAGATTCTCATTTTTATTTAAGCATAAGAATAAAAATTTTAAAATTTTATAGTATGCTGCATGCATTGATATTAGTTTTAATTTAGTTTTTTTGTGAGTTTAAATTATAATGCTGCTTGGGGAAAAAATTAAGCATGAAAAACAATGTGATAATTTCAATGTGGGCTGTTTCTGATGATCTCTCTCTCTCTCTCTTTTTTCCTTGTATTTTTTTTTATGTGTGTGTATAGCTGCCAGAAAGTGTTGAACATGTGGTGAGTTCTCAAGTGTAGGCAGGCAGAAATAGCTCCGTTGTCTGTAATTTCAAAGATTTTTAGCACCATGTTTGTTTTTTAAAAACATACCTTTCAACATAGACATTATAATTTGTAAACGTTGTTCCAAAGTATTTGATATCATTTACATTAGCTCTGAAAAGCAAGAAACCATTGTTTGAGGAGCTCTTTTGCCTGCTGCAACTTTTGCTTCAAGTAACATAGATTTGGGTGCACTTTTTAATTGAGTAGCTACACCAACCCTGCTTGTGCTTGTGTATTTGTTTTACAACACAGACGCTTCATTTGCTATTTTAGATAGAAAGACAGGCTTTTGAGATACGCTCTCTTTTTTCCTGTTTGTGATTATTAAATACACATAGTAAACCCCTTACCCCAACCACAATGCTATTACTAAAACAGTATTTCACTTACTAACTAATAATATTGCTATTGGTAACATATGGTATGCATTGATAAATTTCATGATAAACTATAGTTGATAGAGTGTTACGAAAAATCCTCATGTAAATATTTTCTACTAATTTCAGATATTATAAAAGGTAATGTTTCTATCAGTTGAGGTCATGTTGAATTTAACTGTTGCTGACCTTTGCCTTTAGTTGTTATGCTGTGTCTAAAATGCCACTCTCAGTTTCAGGACAATTTTTTAGTCAGCCTTCGAGTGAATAAAGAAAGTTGCTTCTTAGATTAATAAATTTTGGAAAGTTCTATTCATATCCAAAGTGAACCTTACATAATTTCCAAAATAATTCTCCTTTGCCGGCCACAAGATGAGGAAATTTATGTGGATATTTCTTTTTTTTTTAAAGAATGTTTATTAATTTTTAGAGAGAGGAAGGGAGAGAAATGTAGTGAGAGCACAACATTGATTGGCTGCCTCTAGCATGCCCCCCCAAGGGAACAAATCTGCAACCCGGGCATGTGCCCTGACTGGGAATCAAATCGGCATCGTTTGGTGCTGGGAACAACGCCCAACCAACTGAGCCACACTGGCCGCGGCTGTAGATACTTCTTTTTAAAGAAAAATGATTAAGTATCCAATTTTAATCACTTTGGGGTTTATTGATGGTATGACTTGGTTTAGTGGATTGCGGGATATAATTAGTCAACTACATCCTTGTGCATTTTTATGTCAGAAATAAAAACAACAGTTTTGCTCAGGTGTGCATTCCTAAATACAGTTATAGAAGTAGGGTGGTAGCGTGGCCGATTAGAATGCACAGGTCCTTTGCAATTAGGTTGTAGAGTCCTACTTCTGCCTCTTTGTTACCTTCTTCAGGCTTATTTCTTTTTCTGTCAAATGAGGCTAATAATACCTACCTCATAGGATTGAGAAAGTTAAATGTGATAAAACACTGGTATTTTGTCTGGCAGATGGCAGGCACTCAGTAGTTATTATCACCCTGGTTTATCTCTTCTCTTCCAGTTGCCTGTGACCTTTCTCATCTGTGCTCTTCCCAGCTGTGCTTCTTCTGTCCTTGTCCCATATTTTACTTCCATACTCATGACTCTCACTGAAACTGGCTCTTTCTGTGTTCACATCTTCCTAGATACCTGCTATCAACCAAAGCTATTATATATTTTTTTCATTTATTCCTTCAACAATTACACTGCTTGGATTTCAGAAATATTTATACCTTTGCCCTTAAGTAGAGTACACACCAGTCAGGAAGATTGCAGTTGTATTAGCATACATCAGTATATGACTAAATGCTATGGAAAAGGTATAAAGAGAAAGATTACTTACTGACAAGATGATCAGAGAATGCTTTATGGAAGGGGCTTTGAAGAATGACATTGTAATTGAATTAGTTGAGATGGGTTTGGATGTTTATGGGTTTGGGTTTCTTTATGTAGGTGTTGGAAGATGAGAGAAAAAGGAAGTAAATGGTGGGAAGGTTATTCCTAAAGGAAAGGTTCGCTGGTGCTTGGAACATCATGGTGCCAAGGCCCGTCATACCTTTCATAGTCTGGCCCCTGCCTGGCTTTCCCAGCTCCATTTTCCATTCTGAAGCCTATATTCTATTGGTTCCATTCTGCCATCAATATACTATTCTCTTTATCCATTTCCCACTTCTTGAAACTTCTTGAATTTCTTATAAACAAGGATTTTTTCATCTTTAGATCCCAATGTCTAAAACAGTATGCCTTAATAAATTATTACTAAACTAGAGGCCCGGTGCACGGGATTCGTGCACAGGTGGAGGGTGTGGCCTGTGGGGATTGGCCCACTGTGGGAGCACACTGACCACCAAGGGGCAGCTCCTGTGTTGAGTGTCTGCCCCCTGGTGGTCAGTGCGCATCATAGCAACCGGTTGACTGGTTGCTCTGGTCGTTCGGCCATTCAGTCGCTGGGCTTTTATTATATAGGATAACTGACTATAAATAATGTGGTATATCCATACAATGGACTATTGGTTAACAGTATAAAAACTAAAATTGGAAACATTATGATAAGTGATAGAAGTAGACACAAAGACCACATATTATATAATTCCTTTTAGATGAAATTTCCAGAATAGGCAGATATATAGAGACATGCAGCAGACAGTGGTTACCTAGGGCAGGGAAGAGGAGTTTAGGAGTGGCTGCTAATAGGCAGTGTGGTTTCCTTTAGGGTGATGAAAATGTTTTGAAGTTAGATAGTGGTGATTATTGCTGTGCTATAAAAACCACTGAATCGTACACTTTAAAAGGGTGAATTTTATGATATGTGAATTATATCTTAATCAGTTTTTAAAAAATGAATATCAATCCATCATTTCAGTTAAGCTTTATTCCGGATAGGTTACAGAAAGCTTTAGAACTTTCCTGACCCTTCACTAGTTGAAAACTAAACACATAAAACTTTGCCTTTTCTTTCATCAGGATTATTCTTACATTCTACAAGTTTACTATTGCATTCCTCATATTTTTAGTCTGTGATTCAGAAATGTAAGCATGATTTTTTTTTTCTAAATTGCATCTTACGCTTCTTCCACCATTGTGTAGGTAGCTAGGAACATACTTAAAATTCTTTTTCAGAATTTGTTTCTGACTTCCTCTCTTTCTTCTTACCTGTGATTGACAGAGATCCCTCTCATTGCATCCCACTAGAATGTATTTTACATTGGACATTTTAGAGTCTCAAGTTTCCTAGAATAGTTACCTCATGGGATAAAAATATGATTTCTGAATGATGGAAAGTATTCTATTCCCCCCAATATAAAGTGACTCCTTCATTAGTAACAAGGTTTTGTCTTTTTTACTGTAGCTGAGAATTTTTTTTCAAGGCAGGTGACATAAAGAATAGCACTCTCATCATTCCTTCCAGGAATTAAAACAAGGCTTCCAATAGTTTAGTTATCAAATTTTTAAGTAGTATGAAATCACCTTTTCCTTTGTTCCTCTTTCTTTCCCCTTTCTAACATTTACTTAGCAGTTATTGTGGTTTGGTAATATGATTATGAGGAGAAATCAAGGCCTTTACATTCCATTAGAGAAGATAGACTATTCCAGTTACTTTACATGGGGGTTCCGTACTCTGGCTTCATCTCACAGTCTTCTGGGGAGTTTAACAATAAGATAATACTTAGGCTGCACTGTCAGCATTTCTGATTTTAATTGCTCTGTGGTTGGGGTCTGGTTACCAGTATTTTTAAAAAGCTTCTAAACTGATTCTAAGGAACAGCCAGCATTGAGAATCATTGGTCTAGTACAGGTGTTAGAGGATTAGCACTATGTAGGATACAGTGTTGTTGGAGTTCAGAGACTGGGTACTCACTTCTAGCTGGGAAGATGTAGAAGTCTTCAGCGGTAAAGATATACTTGCACTGGTTCTCAAAGATAAGTATGGTTTGGCAAAGTTGATGGGCGATTGTCAGAGAGAAAAGGTTGAGCAAGGAGCAACCCACGAGGCTATATAATGCGTGAGTGCTTTAATGGGAACTGGGGTGGATAGGCTAAGTGTCCAATCTCAAAGGGACTTAGTAGCCAGGTTAAAAAAAAATTGAACATTATCTTTCTCAGCACAGCAATGAAAGCTGTGTGTTTTAAGCCAAGAAATGGTATAATCAGATTGAACCTTAGGAAATAATTTTTGGCAACAGTTTTGAGGCTTATGTCACTTCCTGGGATTCATAAGATTGTAGAAAACCTTCCTTCCCTGCACAGTGTAGGCTGCCTGGAAAGGAAGCCTGATGGATGATGAGACTGAGAGGAGAGTGGAAATAGGTTGGAACCAAACTTAAGAGCTGTGCGGACTTAATGCCATAGATTGTGTAGAGACATTGCTGAGATTTCAGAGGAAAGGGTGCCATACATGGTGGGCAAAAGTAGGCTTACAGCTGTTTGTATGGACAATAATACAGTAATTAATAAATAATAATATAAGAACAAACTCTGTTTTGCGTACTCACAACTATAAACCTACGATGGCATATTGGAGAGAGGGAGACTTAGACTGGGAAGTCAGTTAAAAGGCTCTTAGCAATGATGGAAACAGTGTTTCAAACTAAGCCAGCATCAGAGAATGGGACGTTTTTGAAAGTCATTTCAGACTTGAGGGACTAATTGCATGTAGATGGAGAGGAAGAAATTAAAGATGAGGATAGGTGTACAGGTTCCTAGTTAGAATAGTTTGTGGATGGTCTTGCTCTCTGATCTAAACTCCTCTTGGCTAACTAAACAGTTTATAATTTAAAAATCAAGAGATCCAGAGGTATTAAAATGTATCAGGTATACATTTTAGGGGGAAAATCCTTTGTCAAAGAATTATGCTATAAAAGGTATATTCTGTATTCTCATCAGCTCTGCCCGATGAGCAGAGGTCAGGTTCCAGAGTCCTAACTGTATGGTAGGTTGCCAACAGTCTCTCAGCCAAGGGATGAGCCAGTGAGTCACTGTAGAAGGGACCAATAAGAACTTGACATACAAACAGAGAAACCTGCTTCAGTTTCTGGTATATCTGTGAGAAAGAAGTATATGACATAATCTAAGAAAACAAGCCCAATTCTAGATGAAGGAAAAGGCAGTGACTAAAGAGGAAGTGGTGGTGTAATGTTAGTAGCAAAGCCTTGGCCCTTACCAGTATGTTTTCTACATATTTTAGGACTTTGAGTCATGATAGTCCCCTGTTTCCTACCCAAACAGTATTTAAAGCAACAACCTTTGAATTCATTAGGAGTAGGACTTAACATTTATCTGCAAAGGATTTAAGAGTGGAGATGTGACTGCAAAGCTTTTAGATTGGCTACCAAATTATCGTGTCAGAAGCACAGATCTGACTTGTGAGAGTATATTGTTTTACTGGAACTGCATAAGGAATAATCAAGAAAGAGCCAAGAAAAAGGGAAGCATTGACAGAACATGATTTAAATGTCTGGTTAGCTTAATCAGCTTCCCCTAGGTGTTGTCCGTAGTCTAGATCAGAAGAGACTGCAAGTGAGGTATGAACTAATGTATAAGAATTGTAGCCACTGAGCAGCAAGGACAGAAAAGATATTTTAACATTTTAAAGATGTAAATAATTTTCTAAGAACAGATAATTGAATTTATTGATAAAAATAACTTGCTCACATCGTCTGTGAGAACTAATGTATGTGCTAAATCCTAGAATCTGCTATTATTTACAGTTGTTACTACCAATAGCTTTTTTCCCCCCTTTTCGCTGTACCAAGTGTTAAAATAACATTGTCTCTTTTTACTCCTTTGCCTGCACTCATAAATTGATGGCATGGTATCCACTAAGTATCTCCAGTGGTCAGCCCTGAGCACCCAGGCCAAGGCCTCATTGGAAAATGAGAAGCAGGAGTGGGGTCTGGGCAGTTGCATCTAGAGAGCAGTGCTTCTTGAAATTCAGACTCCTTTAAGAATATGGTGCAAGCCATTCTTTTCCCAGAAAAACTTCCACAGGCACTAAAATCTGCATTGTATGAGTTCTCACTGGGGTACACAGCCCATGGGTAAAAACTCTAGCTTTAGAACATGATATAATTGACCAGATTCTTACTCTAGGAGTTGCATTTATGAGGCATATCCTTTATTTATTCAGTAATATTTAATGAGTAACAATTTTGTGCCCATTTGTGAGATGTACCTGTGAGCAAGATCTTACGAAGCTTATATCTGATGTGGAGGCAGATAATAAAGACATGAAATACATGTAGATTATTAGTACTAAGTACTGACAGGAAAATAAAACAGTCATGTGATAGAGTGATGGTATGGGCACTGTGTTTTAGGTTCAGTGCTCAGGGACAGTAGATAATTGAGATGATACCTAATTTCTTAATCACAAAGACTATAAATCAGCTGTTTTGGTAATGACTTTAAGAAATCAGCCGCAAGTTAAATAGCAATTTTCTTCTGTTTTGTTTCTATTTGGAATGTATTCATATTATATAAAGCAATGCTGCCCTCTGGTGGTAGTAAGTTTAATGGCATTCCAGCTTTATTTTTGCAAATCTATTTCAAGGATATACAGTACTCTATTTAATGGGATTGTTTCCTGAAAAATAGATGTCATCTTTAGATTGCTTTTGAATTTAAAGTTCTTGTAAAATTATAATTCATTTGAAAATCTTATTTAATCTGAAATAAATTTGGGAATTATTTTTTTTTTGATCAATAATTCTTACACAGTTGAAGGAAAGGATACCTAAGAGGTAGGAAGAACTCAACTCTCAGAACTGAAAGGTGATTAATGGTACTGGGAAAATAAAGCAAGCAAGGTGAATTGCTAATACAAGCATGAAAATCTATGACTTGGACTTACTCATTAAAACATGTATTACATTAAGTTCCCCATTCCAAAAGGCTTAAGACACTTTTTAGTGGAAATTTTTTAAAAGAATGTATTTTGGAATTTCAGTAGCCAGTGACAGTATTTAGAAACAGTGAACATTATTAGTGACTTTATATTAAACAATGAATAAATTTCCATTGAAATATGATCATATTCTTTAATATCCTAAATATTTGGTTTGTTTCTTCTAACTCTCAATTTTTTAATATTTTGTTTTTTACAGTATGGACATGTTCTGACTCTTAAGTTTTTAATTGAAAGGTTCTTTTTGGAATAATGATTTTTATTTTATAGAGAGTAATTTGACTTGAATAATTTTTTGTTTTGCTTTTTATTTTTGAAAATTTATATAACCAATTTGAGAAGGTATTAGGTAGCTAACAGTTACAAATAAATTTGACTTATTTTTCTAAGTCCATGAAAAATCTAATGTACCCATATTCTTTTTTTATGGTGGTAGCTCTTTTTAAGGCCCTTGATTGGGTAATTTATTTTACTTCAATAAAAGTAAAAATCATAAAGATTGATGACTGCACATATTTCTAGTTGAATCTTTACCAGGTGATACATACAATTTTGAATTATTCACATTTTATGGTCTAGTCATTATGTGCTGTTTAAGTATACTTAAAAAATGCAATTGTGTGATTGTGCCCCATAGTGTTTTCATAATCATGGCATAAATCACAATAAAGAGTCTGAAATTAATTTTTTAAACACTTTTTATAATATATTTTTTAATTGATTTCAGTGAGGAAGGGAAAGGGAGAGAGAGATAGAAACATCAGTGATGCGAATCATTGATTGGATGTCTTCTGCAGACTGCCTACTGGGGATCAAGCCCAGAACCGGGCCATGTGACCTGACCAGGAAGCAAACCATGACCTCCCATGCCCGCTCTTCTGAAATTAATTTTTATGATGTGGGTAGAGATATTGTATAATTTAACTGCATAGGGTGGATTTCTATTTACATTTATTTCACCAAAAAATATAAAAGATATCTAGCAATTATTTCATCTTTCATAATCTTTTGCCAGGTAGAACAGATAAAGCTACATGGTCTCTGTTGCTTGGAAATGTTGAGTTAAATATCTCTTTAGGAAGGTGGGCTGGTAAGAATTACAGGAATATCTCTGTAAGGTCAGCATAATGTAGCTTTGAATTGGCAGCATTTTGCTGATGGAATCACCATGTATATATACTAGTGTCTTACTTTTATTACAAAATGTGATTTACACACACACACATGACTTCAGTGGGGAAACAAAAGGAGCCCCTTTTTATGTAGTGCCTGTCATCTTTATATTCCCATAGATTGGATAGGTTGAATTTCTTTTAAGTGTGGGAGAGGAAAACTAGACCTTTATTTGAAAGGAATGCCAGACTCTTTGGGGATATAAGTGTGTGTGTGTGTGTGTGTGTGTGTGTGTGTGTGTATACACGCACTTTACCAGCTGATAGCTCAATTTTGAAGATGAAATGTATTTTAATAAAAACACTGTTTCTATAATTACTCAAAGATTGTGTATACATTTTTGGGGACACTGTATATATATATATATATATATACATATATTCATGTATATATATATTGTTTTGTTGATTGCTGACCAGTGATTCTCATTCTCATGGACCTTCAGTTCCTACCAGCCTAGTGTTGCCCTACATGGGTTGCATGTGTTTCATCTTCTCATGACTAGGAAAATTTACCCCCAGAAAAGGTAGTTCTCTTAGGGATCATCTCTAGATTTTTTTGCCTAGGAATAAAAAACAGTACAATATTTCCTTCATAGACTACAAAACAATCAGTTTTCAAATACAGAACTGAATCACATTGATTGTGCTATTTTAAATGTTAACTATAATTCTTACCTTAATTAAAATAACACGATACACTTGACCTTTAACCCTTAAAGAATTAAAAAGTGCCAGTGACATTCTTACTCTGTTTTGTATGTTTTCTCTCTTCCAGTTTGTGTGATGGGAAATGTTTGCTGAAAAGTGTATTTTAGATTTTTCTTTTTCTTTTTTGCAATTGAAACGAATTCTTAATGAAAACAAAATCTCCAATATGAGGATCATTATTGCTTTTCTAACAATGGTTGCAACAATCATGTATAAATACCAGGAAGAATGGGAGAGAATCCACAAGATGAATTTTATAAAAGCATGCCATAGCCAGAGATTAACGAGTATCCCAAATAATAATACGGTGGGCCAGTTAGGATTCAGAACCCCTTAGCTTTGTACAAAGCCTTTTCAGTTTAGTGACTCCTTTTACTGTTGCTTAGAATTGTCTTGCTCTTTCTAAAAGGCACGTTGATAAAACAACAGCAATAATTCTGCTATAGTTCACTAATATCTATGCTTCACTGGCATGTTCACTGTTCATCTTGCACTAGCCTTTTGCTTTTTATGACCATTTAAAGTAATATTAGAGTCAGCCTTACTTTGTGACATTTTAGTACTTTTATAATTAAAAAGTGTTTCCTTCCATCTGCAGGTGCTGCTGTTTTTTCAAAAGAAGGAAAAGGAAAACCATACAGCGCCACAAGTGACTCTGGAGACAGGCAGATCACGGGGAGTTACTTGCGTGTTCATCTTCTGTCTTGTGATGAAAATCATCTCTGTAGTGACCACATACGTTTTCAAGGACTCACTCTTAGAAACAAAAATGTCATACTTTCATACTTCATTGTGTGGTTGTCTTACATTCACATTTTTTTTCTAATTTAACTATTATGGAAGCTTTAACGTTTTGTCAGAACATGAGTGCTTTGCCCATCAGTGAATGGAATGGACCAATGAGGTAGGACTGGTTAAAACAGTCCTAGAGAACATTTTCAGAAGCTCTCCTCCTGCCACGGAAAGCAGTACAGTATCTTAAATGTCAACTAGTTATATACCTGATCTGGTCTTTTATAACTCCTGTAAGAGCATAATCAAAGAGGAATTTTCTCCCCAGTGGTAACACAACAAAGGAAACAGAGTTGCCCAAATATTTGAAGAAGGTAATTCTTGAGAAGTTCATTTTTGGTGTGACATCTGCATTGATATCAGTATTACTGATGGTACTGCTATTTGTGAGTCATACTAAAATTCTCTCTGAAATCATGGTACAGTCACTGCCCAGAGGTACTGAGGAAAAAGCTCTATGTGTTTGGCAGATGGTAGTGGTAAAATGAATAACAAGTAATGTGGTAATTATGAGTTCTGCTTTTTTTAATTTTTTAAAATTATTTATTGCTTTGAGAGAGAGGGAGGGAGAAAGAAACATTGACTTGTTCCACTTATTTGTGCATTCATTGGTTGATTCTTGTTTGTGCCCTGACCGGGGATCAAACCTGCAACCTTGGCATATCGTGACAATGCTCTAACCAGCTGAGCCACCCGGCCAGGGTTAAGCTCAGCTTTCGTGGCACCACTATGTGAAGTACAGTGTTGCTGAAGTGGCAAAAGCACTTATTTAAAAAAAAAATGCAACATTTGTATAATGTAACTTTATGCTTCCAGATAATGTGTGTTAGACAGCAAGAGATGAATACTTTGAGAAATGAGATATGTGGGAGTTTTTTTTTTAAAAAAAAATACACTAAGGAGAAGAAATAAATGTGAATCTCATTGCAATGTATAAGGTTGAATTCAAAGGGGATCCCATTGAAACCCACTGCTGAATGATTACATTCTCCCTTGAGCAGAAAACTTTGGATGTGCCACTCAATGGTGTCTGTTTGTTAATTATTTGCTTTTTGATAAAAAAGATCCCCAGCAATAAAAACTGGGTCACTTTATTGCCCTCTGTGCACATTAGTCTCTTGTATTCCACTTTGCTGGCTCTCTGGAGTTTTCCGACGTTTTAGCCTAATTTCGATGATTGAAAACTAGTTTGGAGAGGATGGGTCAGGTGCTTTGCCTCCATAGTCTGTTAAAGTGCCTGCATATGAACAAAGTTACGGTTCTGTAAAAAAGGAAACCCATTCCATTTTTCAAGTTTGCTTTGTTTTAAGCCATAAAGGCAGGTATTCTTTTGTCACATCTTTCCAGCCAGGATTTTCAAGAAGAGTTAAAACAAAAAGACTGGCTAGGAAGAATTATGTTGTTCAAATCTCATACTCATTTTTTGTTTATCAAATTGTTACTTCCTCCTTCCTTGCAGCCCCTTCTTCGTCTTTAAGTGCGAGCCGCCAGGCACGCTTATTTATTTTTATTGTCTCAAGGTAACATTTAAAATGTGTAATTAAAGTAAATAAATCTACATTTTTGACTTCATTATTGCATTTACAGGGATTTAATTGTACTTTGTAATTTATTTTTCTCGTTAGCCAAAAGTTCAATGCATTGTTTTTGATGAATTAGGCACCCATACAAATACCGCAAATCTGGACGTTGTTTATCATTGTTGCTCTGAATCCTATGAAGATCTTTTTAAGTTGTTGATTTTAAAGACCTACACTCAGCCTAGGAAATATTTGCTGTATAATTTGGTCATCAGTTTCCATCCTATCTATTTGTATACTGTCATGGTGTCTTAAACTGCAGAAGTCACATACTAAGTTGTTATTTTTGTTTGCTTTGAGCAAGGTAGATGGATGTTTTGGCCATTATAATGTGAAACCACTTCTTTCTTTACAGTATTTGACCAAATATGTGTGTCTCTGATATTTGTAAATACATGCGATATCTGTATTTCTTATCATAAGCCTATTTAGTTTTATTCTTAGTAGGGTTTTTGGACTGTACAGTGTTTATATGATCTGAACTCCTTATACATAAGAAGGTGTGTATATTAATCCAATTATGGACTTAAAATATTTTAAAGTATAAATACCCTTATTTGCTGCAAAGACCAGTGTGTACACATTTGCTTTTTAGCAATATTTTTAATTGCTCCATTTTAATGCCAAGGAATAAATCTTTTGGCAACACAGACTGGTCAGTAATAGGTAATGCAGGTATGTTCAGGTTAAGCCAACAACGTTTTGCATTTTTATGCTTCTTTTCTGTCAACACTAATGAGTCAACATTGCCTGAATGTCTGAATAATGAAACACATCCCTGTTTAAAAGTATGTAACTGAAAACGAAATAAAAAATAAAGGTAGTTTTTTTAAACTTGCTCTTAACCCTTTCCTCTCATCATGGGTAAGATGATGCCACTCACTAATTTGAGATATAAATTTTTAAAATACAGCTCACTGAGTTTAGTATATGGGAGAAACAGAGCTATAGGAATATGCTTTTGGTTTTGTTTTGCTTTGTTTGAACCCCCTGTAAAGAGCACATACCAGGAAGTATCTAAGCTTTCTTTAATGAAAGTTTAAACAATTTTTTTATACTTCTATGAACTACTTAATGGAGCAATTAATTAAAGTGAATGCCACTAGTAAACCAAGGAAAAGAAACTGAATCATTTTATTCCTTTTTAAGAATGAAGTTCTATTATGTCCACATAAATGAAATTATTACTCCAACTTTAGGTGAAAAACTTTGCCATCATGGGTGGGGGGCATATATCTCACAGTTTATCATTGTTCTGTGTGCTTTAAGGGGTTTCACAAAGTGGGGTTAATGGTGCTGTATTTACTGAAAGATGCTACAGGTCAAGATAAGGCCAAGCAACACACACTGAGCACACCAGCATTCAGGAACAATGAGAAGATCTGGAGATAGAAGGCCCTGTGTAGGAGAATCTGATTTAAGATGGGGGTTAAATCTGAATGATCGCATAGTTGCATTAGTGAGCACCCTTTGGATTGCAAGTGATAAAAACCTGACGTGGCTGATGCAATAGCACAGTTAGCTGAACAGTCTAGTGGTAGAACTGGCTTCAGACATGCTTGATCCCCGTGTAGTCAGGAATCTGTTCATCTCTCTCAGTTTTGCTGTTTTCATTGTCAGGGGGATTTTTCATGTGTGATGTAAAGTAGCCACCCAGCAGCTTCAGACCCCTATAGCTAAAATATGGGGCAGTTTCTCTCAGCAGTTCCAACAAAATCCTAAGACTAACATTTATTCCTTCATTGGTGCACATGCCCATCCCCGAGCCGGTTACTATGGCTAAAGGGAAGCTGTTCTCCCACTTTCAGAGGATACATTGGATTGAGAAATGCTTAGAAGGAGTGTTACCCAAAAGGAAATGAGAATAGGATTATCAGAAAGTGAGTGAATGGATACTGCACAGGCAAAATCAATAGATACCTGCTATCATGAGAAAAACAAAATACAGAGCCAAACCTAATTGTTTTGAATTAGCAAACCTTATTATTGAGGCTTTTATTAATCTGAATATATTATATAATCCATACACTTATAATCAGTACATTTGAAAAATATTTTGGAATCAGGTAAAAATGGAGGTCATAAGTACCGTATTTGATGTATTTTTGCTCTTGTTTAGTTTTTAAGGATTTTGTGGTAGAATTGGATTAGTAGAGTTAAATTAAAGCTAACTTTTCTAGAGTAGAAATAAATTGAATTATAAAGCTTTGCTGATGTTCAGGATAACTAGTTTTTTCTCTGCCCAGCTCTAATACAGGGCCACATGTTATTTTCTTAGGAAATGTACTTCTAAGACTACATGGATCATAACCAAAGAAAGGACTACATACAGAAAAATTACCAGGTAATATTTCTGGGATATGAAAAAGGTTTTGTTAGAAAGAGTGATTATTTATAGGGATGTTTATCATACTGTGATTTTATTTAAATAAAAAAACACTACCACAGTGCTCTAGACTTGGAGTTGGCAAACTTTTTTTGGTAAAGTTTAGACTGGGCCAAAGGCAAAATTGAGGCTTTTATATACTTCTGTAATGAGAAAGAAAACAAATTTCCGTTAATTTTGAATTGACAAAATTTAAAATATATATTAATCCTTGAATACGAGTTTTTTTGTAATGCAGTCTACTGATAAGAATTGAATTATTTTTGAGGGGATAATATTTCACTTAATTGGGTTTCAAAATCAATTGCAAATGTGTCTGTTTTGCTGGTCTGTGATGTAATTTTACATATGTCATCCTTGAAAATGTCTTCAGACAGATAGATACTACTAAATACTGTTAGCATTCCTTAGGATATGATTTTAATTGAGCATATTCATAATTTGGAAGGTAGTTAGAGAATTCTACTAAGTATTTGCCTTTTGGCAAATCATTCCATTGCAGATTAATCACTTCCTATTAAAGGATAGTTACATGCTCCACCATTGTACGATTAGATTTTGAAGTATGGAAATTTCTTTTGCACTTGAATTAAAATCCAAAAATACAACTAAAAATGTAGTTGTGTTTGGAAAATATATCCACTGCAAATTTGTGTGGAAAATGGAGATCTTGCTGCTCATTTTAACTTGCCAGCATGGGAAGTAGGTAAAAAAGCATTAGTTGTCACCATATTGACCAGTGCAGAATAAGTTTCACATATAAGTGTTGTTTTGCCTTACAATTTTAAGTTGAATTTATTAAGAAACATCAAATCTGCAGCAGAAGCTAATTTCCAAAGCTATTCACCTTTTCGTTAATAAAAGGTGTGTGTGATTCCTCATTCAGAAAAATTTTAGTCTTGCTGCCATCAAACTGCTGTGTAGTTGGACAGGTCAGCACATTTAGTTCCTATTTCTGATAAAGCTTAATGGAAGTGATGATGGGTAAGCCTAAAAGAGTAAATGAAATTTACCAGTTCAATAACATGACAGATTTAAGCATTTTACACAAAATAGCTGCTGTTGAATGATATAAAATATAAATATTGACTTTAATCATCTTACATTTTCAGAAGTTTTGTAAATTTGCCCAGTAAACCTTTTCCTGCTCCACACACATTTTTACCACCCTCACATCGTAGCAGATTCCACTTCAGTTTGCACTGAATTGGTGTTTTCTCAAGTTCTTTTAAAGTACTCTTCCTTGTAGTGTTGCATGAAGACTATTCACAGAGGCTAACTCATGAGTCCCTTCAAACTCAGCATTGAGTTCTCTAGTAAAATAACAGGGCAGTATTGGCAATGTTAACCTAAAAATAAAAGGCCTTTTAAAAAGTGAGAAGCAACACACTTTTATTGAGATCAATAAGAATAGCTATTCAGGTATCATTAATTCATGCAGAAGCCCAAATAATGTTCTGATTAGGAGACGAAAGCAAAAATGGGTATTTATGAGAAAGGGAAGGGAAAAAGTATATCAACAGAAAGAAGGCATTTCTATTGGTGCAGACAACCTAGTGATAATTCTAAACAATGTTTTTAAATTTAAGTTCAATGGTAATCAGTCCAGTAATCATAATAACCTCTTTCTTGTTACCTTTGCAAACAGTTTTTGGACACAAGCTTACTTAGTTAAACGGTTATTTTGCCCTGTTTTAGCATTCCAAAGATTTAAGGCAAAGGACTGCAAAGCAGTCCCTCTGGCATGGCAGCTCCTGCTCTACTTTAAAGTGGCTCCGTTTGTTTTGTTGTTTACATCTGACTCACCAGAAGGCAAGGGAAACTACTTGAAGTCATTTGCCTTGTTATTTAGTTGACTATTGGTGTCTTCAAGTAACTGCACTGCCCTTGCTTAAAAAAACTAGTAGGCTTAAACAAATTTATTTTCTCTGGACACACAATTAACGTCAACTCTCCATCAATAAATAGCTTTCTTTGCTTGTCTAACAAACGAGCCAGTTGGCAAGTCGCTTTGGTTGCACCCTGTTTGTGTGTGAATAAATTCTACTCCAATGAGATATTCCGTGTTAAGTTTTCTAATTGTTCCAGGGTGCTTTCCTGTGTGTTGGAGATATTGCGATGAGTGTTTAGTGTGGCAATGTCAAAACTGTACTAGCACAGCTAACGTGTGGTTGCCTAGTAAACATGATACTTTGCCATACAATTGTATAGCAAAATAATCCATGGGCCACTGTGCCTTACAAGCGCAACACTCAAAAATCACTTTTCTTGTTTTTACAAGGTCAGTATGCATTAGTAATAAAATAATAAAATGTATGGCAATATGTGTGCCACTTGAAATGCTGTTGAATTACGTCTGCATCACTGAGCCTTGTAGTACGTTGCACAGCAGTGTGAAGATGAGTGTACTGCATATAGTCTCTGTCACAGCTCTTCCACGCTGCCCTTGTAGCATGAAAGCAGCCAGAGATCATATGTAAATGAATGGGCATGGCCGTGTCCCAATGAAATTTTATTTATGGACACTGGAATTTGAATTTCATATCATTTATGTATTATGAAATACTTTTTTAAAAAACATTTTATAAATATAAATATCATTCTTAGCTTGTAAGCCAAATAAAAATAGGAAGTGGGCTAGATTTGCTTGCAGACCATAGTTTGCCAAACTTTGTTCTGGACATTGGAAAGATTTGGATGTTTGAGGTAAATTATTATTATTTTTTACCGAATGAACACTACTTACCATAGATAACCTTTCTTCCTTTTATAAATGGAAGGGCTGTTTTGAAATAGCATCAAGAATTGTGACAGTGGCAAAAGAAAATGTATCACAGCACATAGGGGAGTTAGAAGTAAAGTGAATGAGTCTGGCTCTCACTTAAACTTTGATGCTGAAGCAATGCATGATCTTGGAGAGAGCACGAATGGGGGGATCAGACAAACTTATTTGATACTTAACTCCTTAACTTGTGAGAACTGAGCCAAGTTATTTTGTCAGGGTACGGGAGGAAGAAAAGCATTGATTGACATAAGGCTGTTAAACAGGAAATAAGATTTTTGTATTAATAATAAGGTTGAGCTGGGCTAATAAAAAGCAGATGCTAAATTAGACTCTAATATGTTCCTCTTATAATTTAATGAACTTATATTCTGTATTATATCTGTAACTAAAAAATATATATATTGTAAACATTTTAAATAACATCAATAGCAGACCTAGTACTATTTAGTGAAATGCTTTAAAATTTCTGTAGATTTTTATAGCCTCTGACCCCTAGAATCTCTACACTAAATATGTTTCTGAAACTAGTGACTCTTCTATTTTATAAGGATAGAAAATGAAACCTGTAGTCCAGTTAGAAAATGACAGGTCTTTAACTTGTGAGGTTTTCAAGAGCCTTCCTGATGGCTAAACTACAACTAAATTACAGTGATGCCCCAAACTCCT